GATAGATAGATAGATAGATAGATAGATAGATAGATAGATAGATAGATAGATAGATAGATAGATAGATAGATAGATAGATAGATATAGATAGATAGATAGATAGATAGATAGATAGATAGATAGATAGATAGATAGATAGATAGATAGATAGATAGATAGATAGATAGATAGATAGATAGATAGATAGATAGATAGATAGATAGATAGATAGATAGATAGATAGATAGATAGATAGATAGAGATAGATAGATAGATAGATAGATAGATAGATAGATAGATAGATAGATAGATAGATAGATAGATAGATAGATAGATAGATAGATAGATAGATAGATAGATAGATAGATAGATAGATAGATAGATAGATAGATAGATAGATAGATAGATAGATAGATAGATAGATAGATAGATAGATAGATAGATAGATAGATAGATAGATAGATAGATAGATAGATAGATAGATAGATAGATAGATAGATAGATAGATAGATAGATAGATAGATAGATAGATAGATAGATAGATAGATAGATAGATAGATAGATAGATAGTAGATAGATAGATAGATAGATAGATAGAGATAGATAGTAGATAGATAGATAGATAGTAGATAGATAGATGATAGATAGATAGATAGATAGATAGATAGATAGATAGATAGATAGATAGATAGATAGATAGATAGATAGATAGATAGATAGATAGATAGATAGATAGATAGATAGATAGATAGATAGATAGATAGATAGATAGATAGATAGATAGATAGATAGATAGATAGATAGATAGATAGATAGATAGATAGATAGATAGAGATAGATAGATAGATAGATAGATAGATAGATAGATAGATAGATAGATAGATAGATAGATAGATAGATAGATAGATAGATAGATAGATAGATAGATAGATAGATAGATAGATAGATAGATAGATAGATAGATAGATAGATAGATAGATAGATAGATAGATAGATAGATAGATAGATAGATAGATAGATAGATAGATAGATAGATAGATAGATAGATAGATAGATAGATAGATAGATAGATAGATAGATAGATAGATAGATAGATAGATAGATAGATATAGATAGATAGATAGATAGATAGATAGATAGATAGATAGATAGATAGATAGATAGATAGATAGATAGATAGATAGATAGATAGATAGATAGATAGATAGATAGATAGATAGATAGATAGATAGATAGATAGATAGATAGATAGATATAGATAGATAGATAGATATAGATAGAGATAGATAGATAGATAGATAGATAGATAGATAGATAGATAGGATAGATAGATAGATAGATAGATAGATAGATAGATAGATAGGATAGATAGATAGATAGATAGATAGATAGATAGATAGATAGATAGATAGATAGATAGATAGATAGATAGATAGATAGATAGATAGATAGATAGATAGATAGATAGGATAGATAGATAGATAGATAGATAGATAGATAGATAGATAGATAGATAGATAGATAGTAGATAGATAGATAGATAGATAGATAGATAGATAGATAGATAGATAGATAGATAGAGATAGATAGATAGATAGATAGATAGATAGATAGATAGATAGATAGATAGATAGATAGATAGATAGATAGATAGATAGATAGATAGATAGATAGATAGATAGATAGATAGATAGATAGATAGATAGATAGATAGATAGATAGATAGATAGATAGATAGATAGATAGATAGATAGATAGATAGATAGATAGATAGATAGATAGATAGATAGATAGATAGATAGATAGATAGATAGATAGATAGATAGATAGATAGGATAGATAGATAGATAGATAGATAGATAGATAGATAGATAGATAGATAGATAGATAGATAGATAGATAGATAGATAGATAGAGATAGATAGATAGATAGATAGATAGATAGATAGATAGATAGATAGATAGATAGATAGATAGATAGATAGATAGATAGATAGATAGATAGATAGATAGATAGATAGATAGATAGATAGATAGATAGATAGATAGATAGATAGATAGATAGATAGATAGATAGATAGATAGATAGATAGATAGATAGATAGATAGATAGATAGATAGATAGATAGATAGATAGATAGATAGATAGATAGATAGATAGATAGATAGATAGATAGATAGATAGATAGATAGATAGATAGATAGATAGATAGATAGATAGATAGATAGATAGATAGATAGATAGATAGATAGATAGATAGATAGATAGATAGATAGATAGATAGATAGATAGATAGATAGATAGATAGATAGATAGATAGATGATAGATAGATAGATAGATAGATAGATAGATAGATAGATAGATAGATAGATAGATAGATAGATAGATAGATAGATAGATAGATAGATAGATAGATAGAAGATAGATAGATAGATAGATAGATAGATAGATAGATAGATAGATAGATAGATAGATAGATAGATAGATAGATAGTAGATAGATAGATAGATAGATAGATAGATAGATAGATAGATAGATAGATAGATAGATAGATAGATAGATAGATAGATAGATAGATAGATAGATAGATAGATAGATAGATAGATAGATAGATAGATAGATAGAGATAGATAGATAGATAGATAGATAGATAGATAGATAGTAGATAGATAGATAGATAGTAGATAGATAGATAGATAGATAGATAGATAGATAGATAGATAGATAGATAGATAGATAGATAGATAGATAGATAGATAGATAGAGATAGATAGATAGATAGATAGATAGATAGATAGATAGATAGATAGATAGATAGATAGATAGATAGATAGATAGATAGATAGATAGATAGATGATAGATAGATAGATAGATAGATAGATAGATAGATAGATAGATAGATAGATAGATAGATAGATAGATAGATAGATAGATAGATAGATAGATAGATAGATAGATAGATAGATAGATAGATAGATAGATAGATAGATAGATAGATAGATAGATAGATAGATAGATAGATAGATAGATAGATAGATAGATAGATAGATAGATAGATAGATAGATAGATAGATAGATAGATAGATAGATAGATAGATAGATAGATAGATAGATAGATAGATAGATAGATAGAGATAGATAGATAGATAGATAGATAGATAGATAGATAGATAGATAGATAGATAGATAGAGATAGATAGATAGATAGATAGATAGATAGATAGATAGATAGATAGATAGATAGATAGATAGATAGATAGATAGATAGAGTAGATAGATAGATAGATAGATAGATAGATAGATAGATAGATAGATAGATAGATAGATAGATAGATAGATAGATAGATAGATAGATAGATAGATAGATAGATAGATAGATAGATAGATAGATAGATAGATAGATAGATAGATAGATAGATAGATAGATAGATAGATAGATAGATAGATAGATAGATAGATAAGATAGATAGATAATAAGATAATAGATACGATATATAGATAGATAGATAGAATAGATAGATAGATAGATAGATAGTATATAGATAGATTAGATAGATAGAAGATAGATAGATAGATAGATAGCGAGATAGATAGATAGATAGATTAGATAGATAGATAGAAGATAGATAGATAAATAGTCGAAATATATTTCTCATGACTGAAATTCCACAGCCTAGAAATCTGGACCTAACATTTATTTACTTTACAGTTCCTGAAATTTTGAATTCCTTTTAGTATTTTAGCACTTTTTAAGCACAAACACCTACAGCTCTGATTTTTATAAATAGCCTACAATTTGTTATCATAAAAACTAAATATCAAACAAAAAAAAACTAATAATCATAATTTTGCTCTTTTTTCTATTACAGCTGCCAATGCTGCCACAGCATCAGAAGACTTAACATCAACGTCGTCTTCTACATCATCAACACCAGCATCACAATTGTCTTCCCGTGTATATTTAGAAACAATGACAACAAAAACAACATCAATATCAACATCCACAATAATAACAAATGAGCAACAAACTATAAATTTAGCAGCTACAACATCCGGTGAAGATGAACTACTAACAACAACAACAACAACAGCAGCGAAGACGACAATGCTGACTTCAATAATGCTTTAGAAAATACTATTGTCTCCGGTCTTACAACATAAAATATGTGGATTATTTTTTCTTTTAAAACTTAAAAAAGAATATGCAGATTTTCTTTACACACTATATTATGAGATGTCATGTTTATTATTATTATTTTTTTTTTGCTTATAACAAAGAAAATTTTCTTATAAAAGTGCAGCAGGATTTGAAAATAGATTTTAAGTAAAATTTTGTACATTTTTATTTTAAGCAATTAAACAAATTTTTAAAATTTCCGGTTTACAAATAGAGAAGAGTACAAGATTGAAATATTAAAGAAAAAAAAATAATTCTGAAATATGAAATCTTAGAATAAATAGTAGTTTTATTAAAACTTATAGAACATTTAAAAAGAAAACAGTTTTATAGAATCACTTTCTTTATCTCACACTTTATATTTAATTGCAAAGATTAATATAAAAACAAATACTCTTACTAAATTGTATTTTTTATAAATTTTCTTTTTACATTAAAACAAATTAACCTTTTAAATTTAATTTATTATTGTTTTTTAAGCTGGTTTTTAAAAATAATATGAATTTTAAAGAAAACCATATAAAAAAACTAATTAACTTTGTAATTTAATTAAAAAAAAACAATACATTTTTTTTTGTATTCAAACAGAATTTTAAAAATCTGTTAAAAAAATATTGAACTAATATTTGTAAAGTATTTTTTTTTTTAACCAATTTCCTTAGTTTTGTTTTATCGCTCAAATGAATATGAATCTTATTTTAATTATCTTTTGCTATAACCTAATTGTTTTATGTATATTTGTAAATAAATAATTTGTTTCAAGAATTTCTCTGTTAAGCTATGAGAAAATATTTAATAAATTTAGTTTTGTAATAAAAATTAAAGAAAATAACAAAGAATA